GGGGGGTTTGGTGGCCACAGGGGGGGGTTGGTGGCCTCCAGGCAGGATTTGGTGGCCACTGGGCTGGGTTTGGTGGCGGGGGGGGGGATTTGGTGGCCACAGGGGGGGTGGTGGCCGGGGGGTTTGGTGGCCACAGGGGGGTTTGGTGGCCACAGAGGGGTTTGGTGGCCACCAAGATGGGTTTGGTGGCCATAGGGGGGATTTGGTGGCCACCGAGATGGGTTTGGTGGCCACAGAGGGGGTTTGGTGGCCACAGGGGGGTTTGGTGGCCACAGGGGGGTTTGGTGGCCCCAGGGGGGTTTGGTGGCCCCAGGGGGGTTTGGTGGCCACAGAGGGGTTTGGTGGCCACAGGGGGGTTTGGTGGCCACAGGGGGGTTTGGTGGCCACTGGGGGGGTTTGGTGGCCACAGGGGGGTTTGGTGGCCCTGCACTGACCTTAAAGCTGAAGACGAATTTGCCGCCCTTGTAGAAACCCTGGGGACAGAAAAACGTCAGCGGGGACACGGGGGGACACGGGGACACGGGGGGACAGTGGGGACACCCAGGTGACACCGGTGACACCCAGGTACCCGCCAGGTGACACAGGTGTGCCCCAGGTGACACACAAGTGACGCGGGTGACACACGGGTGACACATGGGTGACACACACAGGTGTCCCCATGTCCCCGCTGTCCCACGTGCCACACCGCTGTCCCCACTGTCCCGTGTCCCTGTCCCGTGTCCGTGTCCGTGTCCCTGTCCCTGTCCCGCGTACCGTGTCCCCACTGTCCCGTGTCCCATGTCCCAGTCCTGGTGCCGGTCCTGTGTCCCATGTCCCTGTCCCGTGTCCGTGTCACATGTCCCAGTCCCGTGTCCCTGTCCCGTGTCCCGTGTCCCTGTCCCGTGTCCCCGTCCCGTGTCTGTGTCCGTGTCCCATGTCCGTGTCCCTGTCCCGTGTCCCCTGTCCCGGTCCCGTGTCCCAGTCCCATGTCCTGGTCCTGTGTCCCAGCCCCATGTCCCTGTCCCTGTCCCTGTCCCGTGTCCCGTGTCCCTGTCCCGTGTCCATGCCCCTGTCCCGTGTCCCTGTCCCGTGTCCCTGTCCCTGTCC